AATTTTTATTAATTATCATTAAAGTATCGAATTGTCATCCAAAACAATCGTGTATATAAAATTTCAGTTCAATTGAATGCTTTAAAACGTGAGAAAAATCTTCAAGTTTTGACACAAGTCACCAAAAGGGTCGCTAAGTCACCAAAAATGATGCCAACGTGGCTGTATTTGTATAATTCTTTAAATAATTATTTTTATTCAATTAATTTTTATCAAGTGTAATTAAATTACTATATTGCCATCCAAAATAATCACGTATATAAAATATCAGCTCAATGGAGCGCTTTAAAATGTATTTTTAATGATTGAAAAAATTCCACCAAAATAAATAAATATATATATATATATAGTGTGTGAGCTAATAGTAGAAATTGAAAAAAAGAAAATTTTTTGCATTCAGTTACAGAAACTTTGTTAGTCGAAACATTTTTCTAATGATTTTTTCCCTAAAAAGACAGTATTAAAAATGTTACTTAAGTTCTTATGTATGAAAAAATATTATTTAAAAATCAATATGAAATTAAAAACATATACTGTTCTTTTTTCCCCATTGGTAATCTTTTTATTTCTGCTTGACAACGGATTCTAGTTCATGAAAATACTCATTTGTCATATTACCTACCAAAAAGAATAATGTATTGATCATTCCATGACTAACGATTTAACCCCACTTTTATATAAATTTTATATATTAGCTGTCTTAAGTCAGCAATATTTATAATACTGCAGCATCCATTTTATAATTTTTAATCTCGGTTGCTCATATGTTCTTCATTGTGTGATTTTCCTACTGTCTATGTTTTTTTAGAACAGTAGGAAAATTACACAATGAAGGACACATGAGCAACCGAGGTTAAAATTATAAAATGTATGTTGTAGTATTATAAACATTGCTGACATAGGACAGCTAATATATAAAATAATTTACATAAAAGTGGGGTTGAACATGTTTTTTGGCCAGTAAACCTTCCCCCTTTATGTAAATATTGCTGAGCAAAAACCTATTGAAAGTAATAGGTAGGAATATCTAAATCCATTGCAAGATAGAGGTAACTTACCTAAAAATTGCACTTGAAAATGCAGAGCCCGCGCTAAATCTGAGTGCAAGAAAGAAGTTATTGCCAGATTCTGAACCCTAATGGAGATTCAAAGCATGTGAATGGCTGAAATGTAGCACTTAACAAAAGTATAAAAAGAATAGAAACAAAAATTAATAAGAATAAAATTAATTAATCTATATATATAAAGGAGAAAAGCGACTCACTGACTAATCACGATATCTCTGAAACTATTAAACCTACAGACTTGAAATTTAGTAGGTAGGTTCCCTTCATGGAGTAGACGACAGCTAAGAACGAATTTTGCAAAGTTCGAACCCAAGGGGCGTTCCAGGGTTAAAGGGGCATTATAGATAATTATTTCCATTACTAAAATATTAGATGTACAGTCGTGAAAAAAACTTGGTATACAGATTTCTTTCATAAAGTAGAGATTCTTTACATAATGATTTTTACGAAAATCGACCTCCAAGGGGCGTTGAGCTCGCTTAAGGGGCGTTATACAAATTATTTCCATTTTTAACCTATTAGACGTACAGTCTTGAAATTTGGTAATCGGAATCTCCTTTAATAGAGTACAGATCCGCTGAAAATGGGTTTTGTCAAAATCGACTCCCAAGTGGCGTTGTAGAGTATTAGGTGGCGTTATAGATAATTATTTCCATTTTTAAACTATTAGACGTACAGTCTTAAAATTTGGTAAGCGAATTTCTTTTATGGTGTAGAGATCGCTACAAAATAGTTTTGGGGGAAATTGATCCCCAAGGGTCACTGAGGGGGATTAAGGGGCGTAAAAGATATATATTTCCGCTTTTCAACTAATAGAAACACCTGCTTGAAAATTAGAAGGTATCTTCCGTTCAAGGAATAAAGTTCCTTTTACAAAGATTTTTGCGTAAACGGACCCCCAAAGGAGTGGGATTGCGAGGGATTAAGGCGTGTTATAGAAAAATTCCTGTTTTTGAATTTAACCCATTTACTTGAAATTTGTTGAGCACTTTTCTTTAGTTGAATAGAGTTCCACTAAGAATGGATTTTACGGAAATCAACTCCAGGGGTAAGCGGGGAAAGTTATTGGGGCGTATTGATAGACAAAATTCTCGTTTTCGAACTGCTAAGACTACAATAATAAAATTTGGTTAGCATGCTTTTTTTGTTGAATTGGAATCCGCTAAGAGTGCTCTCAACGCGGTATTAATGATAAAAATTTCGTTTTTGCTCTGTTAGATTTCGACTTGAAATTTAGCACACATGTTTATTTTATGGAGTAGAGATCCGCTGAAAGTTGCTTTGGTGGAAATCCACTTGAATATTAGGTTAAGTGAGCGAAAAAAATCTTTCTCCTTCTATTTTAGATATAAATAGAAATTAGATATTATAATTTATGTTCTTTTTATATCAAGGGGCGAGAGTGTAACAGATATAAATATATTTTTCAATACAATCGAATTCTTAATGCTAGATATCAATAATTAATATATATGTAAACAGTATACATGTATACAACATCGTGAAATACCCAGTGAAGCGGGTGGGTAACGGCTAGTACATATATATATAAAGTGAAAATGTTCTAAAACCTACAATGCTAAAGAAGAGAGAAATTGGAGTTCATGAGACACAACAAATGTAGATACAAAAAGCATTTGGATTAAACTGAAGACCTATTATGATTTTTGAAGCGGTCGCTGAATTAGGCCAGCGATTTTGGGTTAAGCAATGCTTTATGGATCCGCCTTTTCCGTACAGCAGAAATTTTTGACATAATAGAAAAACAATAGTGCCATGTTGAAAAGTTTAGCCTATTTCTAGCACATGGAAGATAAACCTGACAATATAGTAAAATGAAATTATGAAAAGAGAACATTAATACATCTCTAAAGGAGAGGAATGTTAAGAAAATTTTCTAGAAATATATATATATATATATATATATGACCTCCATTATGAATCAAAATTAATTGGAAGTTTCAGCATTTATTGGATTATTTCGTTATCAGATTTGGTAAAACACTTATGAAGTTATTCTATATTTCTAAATGTAAAATTTCTAAAATTTGATATGACACTTTAAGGTATATTCAAATCTTGGGCTATCTCCATTTGTGACTGACCTCCCCTTATTCTACCAATTATTCGCCACTTTGAACCTTCTCAAATTAGGAATAGTCAACCTTTCATGCACGAGGGCTGAATTCACACTGATCCCCACGGGCAACACGGCCGTCAAATACATTGCAATCAGGATATTTATATAAAAAAGGAAGGTTTGTCTAACGAGACTACAACTGATTCTAAGCGAAGAGATGGTGTTTACATATATGTGTGTCTGTATGTATAATATATAACATCGATTTTAAAAAAGTGAAATGAAATACTTTGCAAAACTGTTAAAGATAAGAGTTTACCTTTTTTCAGAAAATTTCTGAGACTTGATGCATAGTCAGCTTTTTTTATATTTTAAATTATTAAATACAGTGAAATTTTTGAAAAATTCGTCATTTTCGGAAATTTTTTTTTCAAACACATCGGTGAAATGTTTTAAATCTCAAGAGACAAAAAGCAGGCATGGCGATATTTTTTTTGAAATTACCTCACATTAAAATGCCTTCCGTGTCTACCTTAATTGATGCTTTTGAATCATTACTAACAAACGCTGATCACTCTCAGAAACGACTTTAAACAGACCGGAATTACAACATGCGTCCCCATTGTACAATTTTGTGTTCAATGGAATGCAACCAACATAAATCATTGCAGCATTCGACGCATGGTGCGATATTAACTTAGTGAGCATATTTTGTCTCTTAATTCCTTTAACTTTGATGACTAGTGTAAATATTAAATTTTGAAAGTTTTCAGAATTTGTATCCTTTTGGATACAGCACAGTCCCGAAAACTCGGCCTAATGGGAACTGAAGGGTGGTCGTGTGGATCATAAAATTTATATACAAAGAACCCGATATTGTAAAATTCATCAAATGGCAGAGACTTAAATGGGCTGGGGATCTGACTAGCATGAATAAAAGATCGTTGTAGCATGGTTCTGGAAATGCGCAATGGAAATATTCCTCGGAGCAGATCCTCTCTAATGTAAGATGAATTGATTGTGTCGAATTGCCAAAAATAGAGTTTTTTTTCCTTTTTGTGAGAAATATTTTAGTATTATTTTTGTTTCATTCCTTATTTATAAAAATAATCGTATGTAACTTTTTTTCCGCGTATCAAACATTTAAAAATATGCTCACAATTTTAATTCAACATTTAATACAGTTGTGAAATTTTGTCATTATAAAAATTTCTACTTTTTTCAACATACAACTTTTTTTTATAAAGGTACATTTTCGTTTCCTAAAAAGTTGCAAAGTGAGTGACACTTATTCGAGAGCTCTGATAGGGAGAGGGAAGAGTAACTCCCATGATGCATTTAAAAATGTTCGTGCAACGCCGGGGGAAAATAAACCTAACAAAGAAAAGAAGCGAAAAAATTTCGAAAAAAGGAGTTTTAAGTTATACACTCGATAAAAGCCCGAGTAACGCCGGGCTTAGAGGAGGAGGTGGGGATGGAAGTCATTTTGAAAAAGAGTATTAGAGAAGTGCTGATTTTGTTAAGGAAAGGTAAAATTTATAAAAGTAGAGAAAGCCCGTGCAACGCAGCGCCATGCAGCTAGTATATATATATATATATATATATATATATATATATATATATATATATATATATATATATATATATATCTTGTTCAAATTTTCAATCCTTAATAAAATACTGTCTATTCATCCACTCAAGATCAAATACATTTTCTAAACGTGTAGTGGATGCCACTTGATGTTAATACATTTTTTTCAAGTATTAATTCATCAAATTTAATTAATGAATAAATAATAACAAACAAAAATAATAGCCCAACACCATGTATAAAAAGGAAACTTGCTCGCTGTGTCCCTGTAGCACAATGGATGTGTGTGTGTGTGTGTGTGTGCGTTGGACTTCTAATTTAAAGGTAGTGGATTCGAATCCCACCTGGAATGGCCTAATTTTTGAGAATGTGATTTCTTTTTACTATACTATTTTATTGGAAAAATTAAATTTAATTAATGAATAAATAGTAACAAACAAAAATAATTGTCCAACACTCTATATGGAAATTAAAATGGAAAATACAAGAAAAATCCTTTTCTATTTTGACACTTAATATTGTGATTCTGTTACATATTTATATTAATTGTAATTATGTATAAGGTATCCGACTACATTAAAAACGTCATTTTCGGTCAAAAATTACATTTTCTTTTTATTTGATATTTTTAAAATTCAAACAATTATCTTTCTAAATCTTCCTTTTTTTTTTTTTGTCTGTGCGATAATTAGAAACAAAGTTACAGGTGTTTAAAATATTATTACAGCGGTGAAATCGAAATCGGAAGTTGACTGCTTAACATACTTTTTACCCATAATTTTTGCAATTTCAACCCATTATAGTTTTAAAAACAATTTCTGACATTTTTTAAAACTATTTTATTGATAGGCAACAATTTCAATCTTTTAATTGGACTTTTGCGATTGGTAACATCTGTTTCTTCTGACCTCACATGTTTTTGTTTTGATTTGAATCTTACGAATGTTGCTCGCAAATTTCTTCAAAAACCTGAACTTTTTTGCTTTAATTGTACAATTTTTAATCGTAGATTGTTTTTGAACATTTTGCTTTTGATATTATCTGCTTATAAGGGTTAAAAAATTAATTAAATTAACCTCTTGAAAACGCAACTATGCTGGTGACATTCACAAAAATTCTGGAAGTGGTGACTTGTAGTGTTGTTGACTTGAAGTGATGAAACTTGTAATGAACGAAAACTGGAATAAGTAAAGGTATTTTCACAGAAAAAAGAATGTTTTAGTGGAACAGTAAGAGGTAATAGAATATTTTATTTAAATTGGAAAGTGTGTTTTCATGTTTGTGTTTATCCAATTGTTTTGAGAACAATCTGTACCTTCATGAAGATTATATGTTTGGACTGACTTCTAATGTGACTTCAAAAATGCTCCGAGTAAAATTTTATCGTCCTTTTTTCAGCTACTGAAAAGCTAAAAAAGCTAAAAAAGCAAAGTGTTATTAATTTGCAACTTATTTGTGGAAGGTGAATGATATCTTGCCTTGCATGACAAAAGGAGCATTTAAACTTTGTGAAAGAAAGTCTTGGCTATGCTGCTACACCAACGGCTAAAGATGTCATGAACGGCACTGCTTTGGAAGTGAAAAGCATTACAAAATGTTTCAAAATGTCAGTTGAAGAATGTGGAATATCCGTTGACGACAAAGACACATGGACATTCATCGCTGAATGTGGTTTCTATAGAAACTTTATACATTGTGTGTGTGTGACACTGGGAAATTCTAGATTTGGAAATGTTTTAGAATTCTATAAGTCCAGTCATACGTGCGTGTTCCTGCAATCATCTGGGATTTACTTCAAACATGGTTCGTACAAAATCTTCGTATGTTTTTGCACTACAAAATCTTGAAAATATGTATTTCTTTTGTGATGGTGATTCCAAGGATATCTTTCTGTTCAAGATGTGTATGGTGTCAACAATGTCATCAAATCTGACTGCATAAGATACTTCTAAGAAAGATTAAGTAGTCGGAAAAGAAAATTTTTAAAAAAGGCCAGAAAACCACCTCGGTGAGAAGGAAAAACTTATCAATGTTATGTTTAATAAAATTCTACACAGTTTTAAAAGTAACACTAATCACGTCAAAGCTATGCTAAGTGTTACAATAGCGGCATTTTTTCACTGTTGCTCCAGGAGGGAGAAACCCATATATGGACCGTGCCCGATTGGAGCTGAGAACTGGTGTGACTATCAACGAGGAAACGACACCGGAAAACAATAAATAGAAAAAAGTGTCGGTATTTCTGTGAAACTTTCAAATATTGTTAAACCTGTGTACACAAAGCAGTGTGATAAGCAGTTATTATAAAATTGCCTCCACGGTAAGACACAAAAACAAATGTATCATTTAACGCCTGTTTGTGGCAAATCGTTTTGAAAGAAACTTTTATCGAGCTAAAAACATTTTTTGGGGGTACCCTTATATTGCCGTCATTATTTTTTAAAAAGCTTTCATTGATTTTTTAGGCATTTTGAAAGCATTTGGCATAAATGCAGGGAATTATAGACTGCGGGATGAGAGATTTGTTGACATCTTTCGAGTCGGTGACTCGAAACAACATTCTTTGCCTTTTTTAAAATCAACCAGAAAAAAAAGGGGGCCCAAAGAAAGAAAAAATTTAACAAACTACAAAAGAGTGGAAGTGTTAATTATAAATCAGGAGAATTTTAGTAATATACTTGTCATATTTTGTTTTGAAATTGCTTTTATAAAGTTTAAATTCATTTATCTCAAAACTATTTTTTTTTGTAAGTTTCATGATATTTCAAACATGATACCTAAAAACTATTAAAGATACTTGTATGAAATTTTACACAAATATTATTAATGGTAGTATCTAGAGAATGACCTACAATCTAAGAAATTGAACAATTTTTAGTTATTTTATATTTGTATTTCTTTCTGAATGTTACGATAATTTGATTGAATTTCCTAGTTCGCAAGCTCGACTGGCTATAACTTTTGATTCAAAAGAAGTAATTTAACACTTGTAGGTTATTCTCTATAAATGTGTTTCAAAAATGTATTGCAGCAATATTTTATGGAAAATATAAAATATTTCAAAAGATAGAGTGTGAAAAAATTCCAAAATTTGATTAAAATTTCTTTAAAAATTTAAGTTTTTGCAAATTTTTATGTACATATATTATTTGTAACTGTATTTTTTATTATTAGTTTGTATAAAAGTGAAACTAAAAATCTAAAAATATTAGGGATCTTTTGAAAACTTAAAAAAAAGGGTCTCCGAACGTAGTCGGATACCTTAATAAAAAGTAACTAAAATAAAATTTTCTTTGTTGACCTAAGTAGGAATCGACTTTAAAGAAAATTATATTGCTTATTCTTAAGAAATGAGTAATGTCATCCATCCTGCATTCTACGTCTGGCTGCTTCATCACGAAGACGACGAAGAAACAGTCCATCCATTACGGGTGTTGTTCAAAATATACTGAATTGCTGTTTCGACAGTCCCTCACAATGAGATGTTTTAGAAGTTTGTACAATATCCTCAACGTCTTCATTTTTTGGCGGGACTTTGAACGTTGAGACAGATATCAACACCCGTCTTTAGAGGATCTCTACTCCATGAAAGGAACATGCGTGCCAAGTTTCCAGTCCGTTGCTCTAGCACGGGGGGACCTCAAAGAGATTTTTGCGGCCCCGAAGGCAGTCTGAAAATCAAATAAACAGAAAATGTTCTCTCTATTTGAGTCAACATATATTTGTCTGCGAAGTGTTTTTCTGCATCAAGTTGGCTAACATAACTTGAAGGCAATGATGAGAATTTCAACAAGAAATCTTACTTCTGATTTCAGAAAAAAAGTTGTAGAACTGTAGGATAGGGTAGGTTTGCCCCATTAAAGTGATTCTAAAATTAAATGTGCTGGCAGCTATAGAAGGTATGAAATTTTTACATAACATGAATTGAATAAAACTATTTATTTCACTCATATTTATTGAATAATAATCAATAAAAAATTGCATTATTTTTATAATACAATGTATACCGCTTCTGAGATGCAAAAATAGGTAATGAAAGGAATCATTTTGGAAATGGTACATCCCTCCGGTCTCATCCACTTCCAGAATATTGTCCGCGAGCCAAAATAGTTGCCCCCTGTTCAAGAACGTCCCCTGGGCATGGACCTCATCCTCGGTGGGAGCGTCATTTCGTTCTCGACTTTGTCATAATAAGATCCTGATCCGGATAATTTTCATGATGAAATATTATTCCCGTACATATTCTCCGAAAAACATGGAATTTCAAAGTGCATGTCAACTGGCAAAAGTAATAAGACTGTAATATTATGTGATGACCGTTGTCCCTGCCTAGTACCATGAGTAATCATTCAACTAATTGAGTCGAAATATGGACATCGGTCGAGCTGGTTTGTGCCTAGGTTTTTGAGATTGTGAGTCATGCCCATTTATTTGTTTCAAATGACCGTTTGAAGGAATATTTGACAATGCGTGTTACTGTCTACTCTTAAAGATCTCAGGTAGGGACTACTTTTGCATAAGTTGTGACGGGGCTTTATCGCGCCTTCAACTAAATCCTCTTGGGGAATCTTTGAAGCCAGAATGGCATTTCATTCCAACCCACTCAAGAAGATAACGCTTTATGCAGATTAGGAATGAGTATATATATTGGAGCTTTAGCATTCGCGTGGAAGTCTTAGGAAGTGATAAAAAGTCTTAAAGAGAGAGGTCAGCTGGAGGCCGTAAAGTATTATAGGAGCCATATAAAAGTCAGTTTGCAGCCAGAAGGTTGCCTAGTAGCCGGATTAAGTTGAATTGCAGTAATATATAGAAGATATAAGGATTGGTAGCTGTTCGCCGTGGAATATAGGTAAGCGGTAGAATATTAAACTTTAATGATAGAACGGATTATAGTGAGTTAAGGAATCGGCTATAGATAAAGATTCGGAGGTTAATTTATCATAAAGATAGTGAGCAGGATTTAATGCGCTATTTGCTGAAAATTGTTGTTTACGTCATATAATTCCTAATCATTTTCCTCTAAGACTTGCGTTGCATTGCTTAATGTAAATTGAAATAATAATAAACTAAATTCATTATGGAAGATTTGAGTGGTCAATCTTTTGCCCCTACAAATCTAGGTCACGTGGATGAAGAGATGATACCCCAGGGCAGGGGGTATCACAAGGGGCCCAGGGCCTTAAAAAATTCTTAAGATATCTCTGGGCCCAGGACTTCGAAGAGTCTTCCCTGCCCCTGGTCTAATACTTTTGAGATCTCATGATAAGAACTTGTCTCCTTTATAAAGGGTGTTTTTTTAGAGGTATAGAACTTTAAATTGCAATAAAACAACGATGTATTATTCGATTGACA